ATATTTCTGATTCTTTTCAAATAGCTGTTTTTGTCTTGCATGTTTATGGTCTTGGTTTACCTTATAACTGTTAGTGTCCCAGATATTAATAACTTACGTGTGCAAAGATTAAAGACAGATATTCCCTTTTTCTCTTCTTTTTCCTATTGCTAACATTTGAAAGCTTGATTCACCTCCTCTGTACGTAATGATTGGATATTAAAATCAGATAAGTACACTAAGCTTTCATGCTGACTTTAAAGGAATGAAAGGACTGAGTTCAATAATATGTGGCTTTAAATTCCTCTGAGAATTAATTTTTCACCTCTTCATTAATATAGACATGAGGCAGAGTTCCCATAATTGGAACAGTCTTTTGATCTAGCTCTTTGAATATAGTCTCGGCTGCTTTTCACTAGTAGTCAGGACCAGAGAAACCTAGAAATAACTGTTTAACTAAACAGCTTGGATTATATATCTGTTCCTAAAAAGTGCTGTTACTTTAATGGTAATCGCTTATGAAAATGCTCTCTGTTTTTTTGGAGAGTTTCAGGTGAAACCAACTGCATCTTACCTCCTCTGCTCTGCTGTGTGCGCTTCAAAAATAAAAAGGCCAAAAGAAAGAGACTAAATAGATGAATGAGCAAAACTCATCTTCATATTCTCTGTTCTGTCCCTTTGTATCAAGAGTGATATAAATGACTCCTGTACGAAGACATAAGCACAAAGGCATAAGCAGTAATTTCAGGCTTTTTGGTGCTGTGCAGCCTCAGTTAGCCCCATGTGGCTAACTGACATCCTACATTCAAAACCCAAATCTGTGTTTATTTCCTATTTCTTTTGTTGTAACCATAGAACCAATAGCAACAGTGAGCCTGAGATAGTGCAGAGGCCACATCTCCTACTCTACTTTATCAGAGCTTTGCAGAAACGGGACAGAATGAGCTTTGTTCCACTGTGCCCCACTCCCAGGTGGGGTAAATCACCTGGCAGCAGAATGGTGGCTTAGGCTGAAGGAGATGTGTGAAGGTCATCTGGCCCGATACCCTGCTCAGAACAGGCTGTGTTGTACATTCTTGTGCAATATTGAATGCAAGTTTTACAAAGAAAACTTTAAAAATCTCTTATGGAGAGGCAATTGTTTAGCAAGATTGAGGGAGACAAGTATTTCTTTCCTGTAACTCATTATCAGTACAAAAGAAAGAGCTGGTTTATAAATAAAACTTCAATTCTATGAGTTTTAGAACAGTGATGAAGTGATCTGCACACGGGCTCTAATTGCCATTGTGGAGATGATCTCTGCTGCTTCAGTTTGTCTGGGCAGAGACAAGTTTTGCATTTTGATGCTGGATACTGCTGCAAGTTTATGTGGAAGGTCTTTTATTAGTTTTTTTTCTTAATGGATAGGATGCACACAATGATTTCAGGGAATTTTAAGCATACTGTCATACTATGCTCATTTTTCAGGATTGGAATGTATTCCCAGGACCACTTTATCTTCCTTTAATAGAAATCAGAATTAATTGATTTGCAAACACTGCCAGTGAAAAAAGTCTTCCCAGAAGTCAATGCAGAATTTTGTCCTGTGTGTTTGATTTTCTCTGAAATACGATTTCCTAGTTTTCTGTATCAATTCTTCATGCTATATTACCCTCATGTCCTTCCAGCTTCTTAGTAAGTCAGATTTTCCTTTCCTGGTAAAAAGAGAAGAAGCTTCAAAAGTTTTGCTGAAGATTAAACTCTCCCTGTAGTCTTATATAATAGCTTTTGAAAATATATATTCTTTATTTTTATTTATTTATTTTTGTATCTGCTGAGGAAGGGAGGGCACAGTTTGACATTGTCTGTATTTAAACATCTCTGGTGGTAGGGAAGGGCACCTTTCCATTTCTAGACAGGGTGGTTCCTTTCCTTTTTAGTCATAATCAAATATACAGCTCTCAGATGGAAAGGGATACTCTTGTCCCACCACAGATTTTGTTCCTCATATTAATTGTCAGACAAACATGCAAAGTAGTAAATTTTCACAGAAACTTAGTGGATGAGACCGATGCATTAGCAGGCAGCCTAGGCAGATGACACAGATTGTGTTAGCAAGGTAGAACACAACTCCTCCGACTTGCTAGCAGAGTAGGTAAAGAAGAGAAGGAAATGCCAGGCATTTTGATAAAGCATAAATTTTATTTAGAGACATAGAAAGATATTTTTAAAGTAATGCACATTAACAATCGTAATGGTTGTTTGAATCAACTCTGCTAAAAAGTAAATACATATGTTCATCACTCGAAGTGTATATTTGGGCTTTTTATTGACTTTGATAATGTGAACAAGTTGAAATGGTTTTGGTTAATGAGCCAATTACATTTAAACAAGATTACAGTCATGCAGTGTGTTGCGCTTAGCTAAATATAAAAAGCTAGTAGCTTTCCTTTCATCTCATGCTCACAAGATTATAGTGAAGAATCAACCACACTTTTCAGCCTAAATTTGTGATTTCTCTCTCCAAAGTCCTCCAACTTTTTTTTTTTTATATAACCTTTAATGAAAAATACTAATTCTGAAATGCAGCCAAGTCTTCCAATCAATACAGCAACAGGGGAACAATAGAGAACCATTGGCAGAAAATTCACCTGTGTTGAAGGATATTCTCTTTTGTGTATGCCATTGAGTTTGAGAGTTTTGTATTACATTAAGAGCCTAGTAGTCGAAGCACAAATTTGAAAAAATCAAATTCAGATGTACTATGCTTGATGAAATTTAGGTTCAAACCTTCAAACTTTATATCCTTGTCAAATAGCATAAAGCATTAGTTTCAGAAAACAGTTAATATTCTTAAATAGAACAAAAATAACTTTAAAAGTCAATTTACATTTTTTTCCCTTATGAAATGCAGATTTCTTGACCTGAACATGTTTTAGGAAGAAAAAAATGCTATATAAGTAAAACAAACTTAAGATCTTGTAAAGAGCCAGTATGGAGACACGATAGAATGGTGGCTTTATAAACATGCTTCTTTATAAGAAGAAAATGTGTTTCAACAAACAAAGAAACAGACTCAAAATCAGAAAAGCAGCAGGTGTCTGTCTTTGGAAATACGATAAACAGATGCTGTTGTTCTCTCTCCTGCTTGTGAGCTCTCTTGTTATTAAACTAGACACATTCAAACAAAAAATCAAAAAGGTAAGTTACAGAACACCACTGTATTGCTGGTAAAATGTTTTTCAGTATTAGATAAAAAACCAACCTCATATCCACAAAATGTTATCATTTTTTGAGTATGTTGTTTTTCTTTCTTTTTTTTCCTGTGTCTGTGGCTAGGCAGAAGTTCGTGCCTCCTGATAATTAGGAAGGAGAACATAGAACATGTCTGACTGATAAAAGAAGCAAGTGCATCTTTTAACAGGTTCCTGTTCATCGATATGGGATAAGCAAAAAAACCTACTGAATCTAACCCATGGAATTGAAAGCCAAGAGTTTCAGCTTAAAAAGTCTGTCTGAACAGGCTTTTGTCAGGGTCAAACTTCCATTGCTTATTCAGATTGTGTCCGTGGATTTTTTGCCCTTTTTCTCTGTCATTTCATTTTCATTCCTGTCTCACAGAGATGCTTTTGTCTTTCCACTTCTCTCACAGACATGCATCACTTCACAGATGAAACCCCTATGTCTTCATATGCTTTGCATATGCCTTTATTCTGGCTTGTGACTTATGACTGTGTTTTATGTGAAAATTCCTTTGATTTCCAAAAATGCCTTTGTAATATGCATTGGGTAATTATATTTGCCAGTTACTGTGAATAAAAAGTAGCTGTTTGAGTTATTAAAGCTGATAACTCCATTCATACCATAGCATTTTGGAACTCTTATCCATATCCTAGTTATTATGATAATTATTTTTAAATGATATTATATCTCTTTTGCCAATAATATATATATATTTTAACTTTAACAGAATTCAGAGAGCACTGTGCAATACCCATGTATATCTGTTTTCCTTAAAGCAGTTTTATTTAACAAAGGAAATAATAATAGTCCATGCTATGTGTGGCATAGTTACATCCCTAGAATATGTTTTAAATATCTTTGAATGAGGCATTCAGCCTTGGCTGATCACATAGGCTGGTTTCCTGCTGTGTGTAACAAATTCCTGTGGACATGTAAATATGGAGATGCTTAATTATTTACAGTTCAGGTTAATTTTCAAAACAAAGCTCATTAATTATTGTAATGCTAGAAACTCAATGTGTTTGCAGTGAAGACACTAAATTAATATCAAATTAGGCTAATTATATTTTATTCTCTTGAGGAGCTGGAGTGTAACTAAATATTGTTATTTACTTTGCAAAATTGTAATTACATCTATTATAGTTTTGATTCTGAAACATGATTAGAGCCAATCTTTAACCTCTGAAGGTGCAACAATGCGGCACTTTTCAGGAAGTTAAGATTAAAAAGGAAAAAAAGCTCTGGAAAAAAATATCTTAATGTAAGAATCTTAAAAATCTGTTAGAGGAAGACATATTGTTAAATTTTGGACTATTTAAGCAAAGAAATAGAAGTAATATGTAAGAGGTCCTAAAATAGCAAGGAACCTGCTACTGACTTCTGTGAATAATAAGAAATGCAAATCTCCTTCCTGAGGAGCAAAGGTGGAGCATAAAGCGCTCTTTCTTGAGCGCTTTCAGTTCCTGGTGGTAAGGGAAAGAAGTTGACTGGAGTAGTCAGGGCTCAGTTATGCATTAGCTAGGCACAAACGGGGTAGATTTGTTTGAAAACACCCTTTTGTAGTAAGTTTAAATTTATTTCTTCTCTGCAGATCTCTGAACCAGAAACCTTAGCCCTCACAATAGTCCTACCTGGTACTGCAACTTCTGCTGCAGGTGAATGTTTTAAGTGAAAGCAGAAAAAAAAGGCTCCTGCAACATGATTTGCTATTTTGCTCTAATGACTCAAGTGATTTCTTCCTCAAAAGGATCACCTGTGATGGATAATTGGCAATACATGAAATTGTAGTAGCAAAGAGCAGTAAGAGAGATAGAAGTTCAGGGATGATGGGGAGTGGTGGTAAGTTGTTTGTGGTTATTTTTACTAAAATCTTGTGTGGGCTTTTCTGGTGCAGTCTTGAAGCATGGTCAATGAGGCTGGCCTCAGATGGAGAGCACCAAGGTTCTCTAGTTTTAGCAGAGTTAAGGGATCGACCTGCTCTTCATGGAGACTTCTCTGAACTTGCAAAATGTCCTGTGAAAAAATGGTGAAAGGGTGCAGTATTAGCTCATTATTGGTATCTATACTTTCATAGCTGTAAATGGAGGCAGCCCAATGGAGAATATCTATATCATCTTGGTGGTCTATCATTACATTATCAACTAGTGTCTCTTAAGATCCATGTGTGAGTATCACTTGTGGTAGTAATTACTTGTTGTTTCAAGGGTTATGTCACATGTGTTTAGTGTCTTCATCTTTGCTGGCATTTATGTCTTGTAAAGTTAAATTCTGTTTGCTTACTCCAGAGAGCAACTAAAATCTCTCTCTGACTTCTCTGGAGCTCTTGAATCAGAAGAGTGACATGCAGTACTAACAACAGGCTCTAGTGTGGCAGGGGAAGTGACAAGAGAATTAAGACATACCAGCAGGTTAAAGAAACCTGCCTTAAATACCTTCACCAGACATTCTCCAGAGAGATTTCAGTCTTTAAGTTGAAGAGTCAAATATATGTTTTTGGAGCTTCCTGTTATGCAGATGCTATTTAGTTCTGTGCAATTTATTCACAGTCAACTTTATTGTGTGTGCATATTTATGCACTATCATTTTTATTTGCGGGGTGGGGGGAATCACGATACTATAGAACCAGTTGTTTCTTGTAATGACATTTGTTCAAGTAGCAGACATAAATCAATGGGGATATTTGATTTTTATATTCTCTGCTTCACATCCAATGTGACTGACGCTCCAAATCTATCCTTGCATGCTAAGAGCAGTGAGGATGAATGCCTGGACCCTGTCTGTGAGTGTCTTTACCATAGACAGAGTGACATGCTATCCTCCTCCAACAGCTGGTTAGCAATGGCAGTAACAGAAACAATTTTTTTTTTCTCCCTTTCCTTCCAGTTTAAATTAGATCTTTTAATTTGGACGCTTTAGTCTTGCTCAGAACGTTAAAATCAATGGGAACCTTTCAACAGATTAATTGGCTTTGCTGTCAAGTACATGTAGGGTATCTAAATTCATGTGCTGTGTTATGCAGGTAACTAGTTTAGGTTCTAGAAATGCAGGATGTTCCAAGATAAATATTTTAATAACTCACTCAACCATTAATGGGAATTTTGGATTAAAAAAAAAATTTAAACTTGCATTTTTAGAAATGAAACAGTTCTAAGACTCTACCTTTAAGAACTCGAATAAGAACTTCATTCTCAATTCTTACAGGTCATATTTGTATTAATTAAAAACATTATTTTATAATCATTTTCTGATCTGAAAATTCAATAATTTACTTGTCTGTCTTGACTAGATCAAAGGATATAACTAATGATGTAACTGAATGAAAGGATCTATGTCTAAACTTGAAGTTTGAGCGTTGACTATATCAGAATAAAAGAGTAAAATTTGTGAGGTGCAGGAGTTTTCAATACAAGTACTTCATCTGTGGAAAGTTTTCCTAAAAGCTTGTAACAGAATAAAGTTATGTATTAAGTTGAAGCTTTTCCTTCAACTCAGCAGTGGATGATATATTTAAAATACTACGTTTTTGAGAGAGAGAAATCATATTTAAGATGTCCTACTGCAGGCTAATTCACAGGAATGGTATGTGCTGCACACTGCAGTGCACACTCAAAATCTAAGATCAACGTTTAAGTTCTGCTTTTTCCTTGGAAGAGCATGCAAAATGTAGGTTTGCTGAAACAGAATCTCTGCTACAGCGTGAGTGTGTCCTGCCCAGCTCTACCATGTCGCATGTGACATATCCCTTTGTAACATGAATGTTCAAGAACACGTTCAAGAACATGAAAATGAACAAGTATGAAACAATCTAAATTTGATCTGTGCTTTATTAATAGGATTGATTCTTCTATTGTTTTTCAACAAACATGTTGGGGAAAAAGAGGGGGGGTGTACTACTATATATTTTGCAGACAGGGAGATTATGGCATTTTTCAGTAGATATTGGAATAGGTTTGTATGTAGTTTGGTTAAAGTACCCAATGATTAACAAAACTATAGGCAACTGGATAGTTTTTCACTTTAGAGGGGCATTATTATTATTAAAATGTCAGTACTTCCTTGTCTGAGAGTGTAGTATGCAAAATGGTGAATGTTGACAAAGCTGCTAGAATTATATGGAGTGCTAGTATCTAGAAATGGTTTGCAACAGAAAGCCAACATCCTGCTGTCTTGTACTGCTCAACAAACTCTACTAGGCAAATGCCTCCACTTTGGAAAGGCAAATGTTTAAATAAATCATAAGGAATATGCCTCCCTGTAAAAGTTGGTCTTTGCAATGACAAGACTTTATATCGTAACTTATGACAAATTATTTTTTCAGACTGAAGATGCAGTACTTGAGCTGAAAGATGATTTGACACTCTAGGAACCCTTGAAATTATGATGATAAACCCCTAGCAGTAAGAGATCTTCCTCATATACTTTTCATTTTAGGAATCTTCTCAACTATTAAAGTATTAAACAAAAAAAGACCCCATAATTCTGTTTTGTACCGTCTGAGCTGCATCACTGATGGGTATCGTGGGGAAAGGAAATGGGGAAAGGAAAAGGATAAATATGCATTCTGTAGTTTATCTTTCTTTGAGACAGAGTCTTGTCATGTACAGAAGTAAACTACTGTGTGTTTTGTCATGATCTGGGGTCTTTTTGGCTAAATGCAGGCAAGTGTGAGGTTTTTGTCATTGTATGCACACATCTGTGAGAACTTCCTTGGGAATCGATATTTACTATATTGTCCTTTGTGTATTTAGTACAAAAAACTAGGAACTCTGAAGTCCTAATCCAAGACACAAATATTGTTTTGTTTGCTTCCTGGTGCTTGTATGTGTATTCTATTGGAATGTCCCTGCTTGTTGAGGAAGGTGGACACCAACCCATTTCAATGGCTTTGTGTAGAACCGTGATGACATTTGCAGTATTTAGTAAATGTTCAGTAACACTTCCACAGAAGATGGAACCTCACAGGTTTTTATCTTAACCCAGTGAGTACAATATTTCCTTTACAACTCTTCTGAGTTTGAAATAGGTAAGGTTCAACACTTCTTGGCCAAGAAAATACTTGGGAGGTTTTGAAAGGCAAGTTTTTCTTGCTATACAAATACAAAATTAGGCCCCTAGATCAGTTGCTTTAAGCACATAAGCCTTTCACAATTGCTTCTCCATGACTGTCAAATATAATAATGCCAGTTTAATTGCATAATGTGAATAATCAGCATTTCTAGAAAACCTTCCCCTAGCCCCATAAACTCATTTTAATGGCAAATAAAACGTATATTGCTGGTTTATTTTTCACTGCCTATCAAGCAGATGTTGCATACTCTCGGAGGAATTTTTCTGCTTTTCCCAGTCATTCTGGCTTGGTGAGTTGCCAGATGTTTGCTTTCTCTGCTGCTTTTCATGAAAGTAGCAGAGATATAGAAGAGATTTCTGAAGTTACACGAGCAGAGATAAGTGTTTGTTTGTTTTGTCTTCCTGCAAAGATGTTTCAGAGAGGAAAACAGGAAGAAGCCATATGAAAAGAGTATAACAGATTTATAAATGTCTGTTACATCTGCCTGTTTCCATTATGGTCTCTCAGTGGGCCTACATGATATGATTCCAGTTGTTTCCTCCTCTAAGCTCCTTTTTCTCACAGTTTTTCAAACTGTATTAATAACTCAAAACCAAATGATGATAAGCTGAACTAATCATACGTTCATTAATACTCGGCAATCAAAGTCATTCCCACTGGATAAAGAAGAACAGAGCCAGAAGGAGAAAAATATAACCCATATGGAGGATATTAAGAAGAAAACATTTGTAAATATTAAAAGATCAGGTACCATTGTCTCAATTTTAATAGATTTTTTTCCCCAAATTTCCTACCAATTAGATATTAATTGCTCTTTTTGTTAAAGAATGTTAATGTTATTGCTAAGATACCTAAGAGGTTTTCTCAGATTATTTCTCCATTTTGTAACACATGTAATACTTTAACTATTAGTGTAGGCAAACAGACTAAGATTAGCTGTGCCAAGACTTTCTGTAATATCTTTATTATAGTCTTGCTGTGGTCTTAAGTCAGACACTGAGTCAGACACTTCCCTAGGACTAGAGAATAGTTACTTTTATAATAATAATACTAGGACTGAATAGTCACTTTTTTGTTTATAAAACAGTTTTATTTATTTTTCTTTGTTCTGCTAGAAACCTTTTGGTTGCTGAAAAGATGCTCTGAAGAAGCTTGAAATGGGCATGCTAAAGGAAAGCCCCAGTCTACAGATGCATGTGTGTGCGTATAGTAGAGACAAATACACTTCTGCTGGAAACAACTTGTTTGGTAAATTAGGTGTTAACCTGGTGACAAAATCCACCATATATATCTAGGCTATCTGACTAAAATTCTAAGCTAAGCCAAATAATAAAATTAGACTTCTGCTATAGAGAATCAGGTCTCCTAATTGCAATGTTACCGAATGTACTGCTCCCCTGTTGCAATTAATAAATCATTAGAAAACACAATTATTAAGGGCGTAGATACCTAGTGATTCAGCCTGTTTCTAAGGAGGAAGGAGAGAGATGAAAAGATACAGTGCCAGCACTGGTTTGAGTCTGGGGACCTTTCTACAGGGCAGTGGAAGGGAAAGATTAAGCTGTGCTATCGCATGGGAGTGGAAGAGGGGTATAAAATGAAACGTTAAAGACAGAGTAGGAAAATGGTGCAACTCATTTCTATTTATATGATGAGAGACATCAGATAGGAAAAGGGTCAGAAATTTCCTTTGATCTCTGTTCTCAGCTTAAGGGTCGGTCCCCAGGTCTGTCTGAAATTGTCTGCCAGTGGCAAGTGCTGGAAGGCCTGT